ATTTAATACTTTACCAATTTGTAGTGAATACGAAAATTAGTTTGTCATAGATGTCAAAGTGTAGGTTCACGAGTTGAATGCAAGCCTCGGGCGAGCAATATTTCATTTTTTTCAACAAGTTCAATAAATTCAGTAATGAAAGTACACGTATAATTATGATATTCTATTTATTACATATCCAAAATAAGAGCTATTTACAGTAAAAAATAGTTTTTTCTTTGGCTAGTTTATAGTATAACGCTTATATTTTGCACAGCAACACACTTTGTCTGTATGATGAAAATGAAGTCATGCCAAATATATGGAAAGCAATGCAAAAATATCATTATGCTTTTTATGAGTCGTAAAAGTGCCACGGGTATGTGATGCAAAATTTAGATAAACAAAAGAATATGAATTAGAAAAAACGACACTTTCAAAACTTGATCATAATTGCTGTAATAAACTTTGGTTACCTTTGGAATTTTACTAAGACTTGTTTGTCATTACAACACAAACAGATATACATACATCTCATTTTCTCCTCCAAAAGTTATAATATATCTAGTGATAATATACCTAAACCGACTTTTGCAGTAAATCATCAGCTGATGAATAGTGTTTCTAAGTTACGATAAGTTTATTTCATTGAAGATTTTGGATATCAAGTAACTATGTAAGAACGCATAATATTCATCAGATGATATTTTGTGTCATAATTACACCATGTAAAAATGGTATCAACGAGCAATGTAAAAAATACAAAATGTACAAATGAATACAATGCCTTGTTTATTAGTCAGATAATAATCATTGTATGTACATTTACACAAATTCAGATATATATACAAAAGCTAGATATGTTAAGTAAGCCTTGTAAAAACTGAAAGTACATCAGATATAAATATTATTTTTTCTTTGAAATCCTAACGTTGTTTTCGTTTATCGTATTCTGATAAAAAAGAGAGAAATGTAGAATTGATGACAGTCGTTTAAAATGTTTAACAGAACAAACGAAATATTGTTAAATATAAAGGCTGGACACATGCCTTTCAATAATAAGCAAACGGAACATTACATACATTATTTATATTCTTTATAACATCTGGATATGTTAAACTCGTAGATACAACATCGATATTCTATTTATTTCACAAAATTAGTTATCTGTTGGTTATTATTTTAAGTCTTAATAAACTAAAGCAATGGCACTAAAAGATTTATGTGTACCTTCAGATACAAATATAGAATTAACATTGCTACTCATGTCAATGTTGAATGATTTATTCATTCAGTTGTTGACAAGTACTCCACTGAATGTGTTCATCCTATATGAGTCTTGAAACAGCCGGCGGTTAGAACTTGACGATGTTGATTTGACCCAAACTTTTTCTCCTGATTTTACTCTAATTATTGCTCCAACAGTACTACAGGTGTAATAATCCTTGTCATAGTTTGAATCTGCTGCGATAACTTGACCTCCCAACACTAGACCAATATATGCAAATTTTGCATAATAAGCACATGTATGAACAGAAAATTGGAACAGTCCTCCAACGGGTGCTGTAAAAATTCCAGTAGAAGTGTCGTAACCTATTCCCTCGTTAATCAAACTTTTCGTAAATATAATAATCTCATCTGTTATATCAAGAAGCAAATCTGCCACGTGGTGTGCATGAAAAGCGATCGGAGGTCGTTCAAGTTTTCCTGAGTATAGAAAATAGTTAAGTAAGTACATGTTTCTTACAATTATTTCTTTATGATATATTTTTTGTTTGTAAATCAGGTACTTTTACAAAACATAACAATTATAAACCAATAGTCGATGATTAAATATAAAGAATAGCCAGATTGTAATGTAAGCGCTGGGAAAATATCTTATGAATATCTGTGTAAAACATGATTTTCTTAGAGCTATAATAGAAAAAAAAGATGATGAACTGAATTCAAAATTAGAATATATATACGTAATTGATTCGGTTTAAGGATGATTGGCAGTACTAGTTTATAGTAACAGCAACATGCTAGTTGAACAAGTTCTTAATATTTCAACCTGATCATTGATGTATACTAAGTACGTGAATGCACTTTAAAACAACCAATTGACTATCATAATTATAATCAAATAACATTTTATGAAATACAGTTTTTGAAAATTATCATCACATGGAAGAGAAATGCGAAAAATACCCCTAAGTTGAGTAAGTTCTTCTTTCTTAGCTTCCATGTCACTCGTGAGGTTTGTTCTTGTCTCCTCAAATAATTTCTTGAATGATTCTATAAAAAATATATCAAAGTTAAATTACTAGCCGGTACCAAAGTTCAATAAGTTTTATTTATGTTATTACGTGTACATATGAACATGGTGCAGAAAATGTTGCTGATAACACGGAACTTCCAAACCTAAGTTACATAGCCAGTAGAGCTACTTCTAAAATAAAACTTTAGTGAAGAAAAACAACTTGCATTCTAATATATATTTCAATTTTCCCCGCTCTCCTTCTATAATGAAGTTTCAATTGATTTTTTTTCGAATTTTAATTGGCTGACGTGGTAGTCATTTTCTGACGTAATTCAATATAAAATGAATGTAGTAAAAATCAGGGAATCAGTTCACTAATAAAAAAAAAATATGATGAGTCAGCGTTTTCCGTCATATGTTTTGGTATATTCATCTTAACATGAATATTCACTGTAATTCATGTTTTGTATAAATCATATACCGAAAACCATAAATATTGCAAATCTAAATATAAATTTAAAATATAGCAGTGTTCTTTGAAACGGCTCGAGATTAATTATCAATCAATTAATGAAAATTTACATGTTAACACTTACTTTTTTATTGTTTTTTATACATGATTTTCTTTTTCACTTTCCTTTATTTTGTATTGATTTATGTTTATAATAATGTAATTTAACGACTCGTTTCGAAACGAGACGGGCTAAGCGAACTGAAAATATATTATAAGTTTGCGGCAATGAAAGTGATGCCATATTCTACGGTAAATACACATAGAAATGTTAGGTAAATATGTCAGCACAGTAAACGATGTATGGAATGTTTTTTTCTTTTTCAAAGCTAATGATTCTTTGAATTTTAGATATTCAACACATTTATCATATTACATATTTTTTCATTTCAGTTTTCACTATTAATTAATATTGATTAAGACTTAAACAATAATCAGTTGTAAACTATATGCTAAAGATATAAGTCATTTTTCGCATGTTATCAGTAATTTTTCAGGATACAAATATCATTTTCTAACACTTTGATGTTTATATTTTACCTTCTCTCCTTTTCATCTCGTCACTTCTCTTTAACGTTTCATCTGTTATGTTCCCCTTCATATCTGCAAACATGTCCGTAAAATCTGAAACTGCTCGTTTAATTTCGACTAATGTACTGATTACATTTTCCTCAGTTTTCTTAATTTCATTCCCCATAGTTTCTACCTTAATTTCAGTCCTTATCATTTTCTCTAAAAGCTGTTCTTCATATGCAAATTTAGAACAAACAGGTTCTTTAGCCTCCAAGACTTGAGAGCTATACATTCCAAAGATAACTAAAAACGCAGCGAAAGTCATTTTAAATGAGATGTTATACCGTAATGTTTGAATACACACACGCTCTGAATCTCAAACCGTTATTTAAACAATTGTGTTTGTCGAAAGAGAAATCTGCCGACTTATTTGTAAAGAGGCCCATATGAAAAACTATTGATTTCTATTCTTTAGCACTTAGGATCAGGGAAAGTTTAACAAACGTCACACCAATAGCTTAAATATTTTGTATCGGTAACATAGACAAATTTCGTTTTCTAAAACATAAAAAAGTTAATGATGGGATAACATAATAGATATATTTTGGAACTGTGTTGCTAGGCTGTGTTGGGGCAGCCTTCCTTATTGATCTTGTTCATCTTTTTTGAAATTTGATTCAAGATCCTCTATTTATTGTTTAAAGTGATGGAAAAAAACAAATGTTCATTGCATAAAACACATTCTTGATGACAAATTAACTCATATGAAGGTAGCAACCTTCACTATAGATGTACATATATAAAAATACATTATAAGGGATTTTATGTTCGTACAGATATTATGTTCGTACAGATATTCTTTCATTAATCCTTAATATCTTCAATATTTTGACAACCCTTTTAAAACCGATAGCTTGGACACCGATGAATTCCAGCTAACTGAAAAGTGTGAAACGCGTTAAGAGTTGATGTTTCCCTTTTATACTTTTGAAATACAAAAAAATATTCATATTGCACCGATCAATCCCAGCTAACCGAAAAGTGTGAAACGCGTTAAGAGTGGATGTTTGTGTTTTTATACTTTTGAAATATAAAAATATTCATATTGCATTTGTATTTATTTTTTATACTGTCAACTCATCATTCGATTATGCATAAGCGGTACAATAAGAGTGAATACGTTCACATGTCTACAATTGTTAACCATTAAAACATTTCTTATACTTGAAATCAGTTATCCTTTGGCAAAACAAACGACTGTTACGCATGCGTTTAGACTGTTGAATGTTGTTGTTCTATAGTATCCATAACTATGTTACTATCTCTGAATTCGATTTACCTAACCCTGATTATTTGCTAAAATGTTTAAAGTTCATGAGATTTACTTGAATTTCAATAATCCCAAACATATAACTTTGAAATTAATGAATAACATGTAATTTGTTAATATGATTTAGTAATGTAATGATATTTTTTTTATAAGTAAAGCAGCACTCTTCCCGACCCTTCTTTCAAATAGAAAACGTAAATATATAATTTTTTATAACATTTTATCTAAATTATCTAAATCATTACTTTGTTTGGTTATAAGGATTGTTACTGAGTGGCTCTCGCATTAAATAAATGATAAGTTTGCTCACATTTAACGAGACAATCTGATAAAGACATTAATGTGACAATGGGTGCCGTTATACTACAATGATAAAACGGGTAACAATTAGATATATATCAATTAATACAACATGAAAGCGTACGCTATAACTTAACATACGGTGTCACAGAGGCGATATATGTGTTTTTTTATTAATCTCGTGCGCAGGAGATACAATGTCGTAGGCACAAGTAATTTTTTCCTGTGCACGAAATTATTAAATCGTGCGCAACAGCTTCGATGTCGAGCACACTAGTTACTTGGTCCTGTGCATTAGTTACTTACTCGGGCATAATATAAGGGGAATCTAATATCCGGAAACCTTATAAAAAGATTTCTGTATGATCTTGGCAGAATCCTATATTCAGTTGTTTCCGCTGTCTATTAAAACATCTTTGGTGAGCCAAGGCCTTGATAAAACTGCCCCTCGTAAGTATCTCCGTAACGTATACATATTGCTCTCCCTTTGAATTTCAGGTGTCTTAACTGAATGACGATCCCATGGCTATCTCCCTAAGTTTGGACGACATACTACTATACAGATATATATATTATTAAGAGGTATTATTAAGTCGTGCGCACAAGATACTATGTTACACTTAGTTACATAGGAGTGTGAATGATATAGTAAACAAGGTGCGCAAACGATACGGTGTCGTGCGTACAAATTATTAAGTCGTTAAGCACGAGTTACTAAGTTCTGCATACAAATCACATAGTCGTGTGCAGAGCTGCATTGCTGGTACTGGTACTGGTACTGCAGTACGTACTGCAGCGATTTTGCAAGTACTGGTACTGATACTGAATTACTCTTACAAAAGTTTGCTACTACTGGTACTGGTACTGCATTACTGTCTTAAAAAGTAGTACTGCTACTGCATAACTAGGCAGTACTTTTGGTTTTGATAAAAATAGCATCAATTTTTCTCATAAATAAACCTGTAAATTACATCATTATATGTTTGTGAAAAAGTAAGTTATCAAATCTATAGATAATTTTCTGCAATTTTCCTTCAAATGTTAACTTAGTATTCATCATAAAAACACCAAAGACTTTAATTAAAAATTAAATTGAGATAAACAGACTCAATAACTCTTTAACCTAAAATATCCTTATTAAATCTTTTATTACTTTGTATTTACGAGTAAAAGAGCAATATAATCACTAATTAATTGCTTCTTTTCTAAATAATCCTATTTCAAGTGATATTGTTAGCACCATAAAAAAGTTGTTATTTACTTTGGTATAAATTGAACAGAGGTGTGAAGGTGTGAAAGGCAACAAAAGACTGTTGTCCTTTAAATGAAAGATGATTGCATTGTATTACAGTTGACTGGTTTACTAAACAATAAGATATGACATGAATATATGTTGTTAATATCGTTTGTAAAAAGTATGTTAAAACTACAAAGTTGTATATATAAAGTTGTAAAAATGTAATGTTAACTTTAAAGTAAATGATGATTTTATTTCTTTGCTGAATAATACTTGCAATTATTTGTTTGACATTGTGTACTAGTATTTATTCAAACTTTGATGAATATATAAAAGTAATGGTACTGATACTTAATTACTTCACCCAAAAAAGTACTGGTTCTGCAGTACCGAGCTAAAATCTAGTACTGGTACTTCATAATTTGCCAAGTACTGGTACTTAAGTACTACACCCTTAGTACTGATGCAGCTCTGGTCGTGTGCACGAGTTACTTAGCTGTGCACACAAGTAAAATGACTGGTGTGCACGAGTTACTAAGTCACTATGTGACATCAAAATTGATAAGGGATTTTCTACTGGCCAATAAGGGACTAACGGTAATGGCTTTATCAAGTAACAAAACACAAAGTTCATTACCTTGCAAGTTATTGATTGGACAAGGATTTTTAATTAAGCGTCATTGTGAATGGAAGTAAAATAAATATCATAAATTCGTTACATAGGATACTTAAGAGCTATATGGACAAGTACAGCCAGAATAAGATCTATATGAGCCGGTTCGCTACTTCATAATGTAGCTTATATGTATCTAAATCTGGAAAAAGGAAGATTTCTCGAGAACAATAAAAAACAAAACAAATAGCTGACAGTTGCAGACTCGGTTTTATAGAGTCTTTTAATGAGAGATATGTCATGTACTCTTAACAAAAGTGCTATGAACTCCGATGATTTTGTTTTTTTTCAAAACATTGTTTTGATTATCGATTTAAAACTTTTACGATTATAAAATACACCATTATATGTTTGTTTCATGATGCTTGCATGGTAATGTCAACTTTATTCACAGAAATAATGAAAGGTTGGCAATCTTAATTCGCAAAATCTTTGAGATTTGTGTTTTAAGCGTATGCATATATGCATGACTCACGGTCCGATAGGTCAAGGTTCTAGTCAAACAAGACAATAACCCATATAATACCACCATGTTATTTACTGATATGGTAACTACCGAGACTTGTTAAGGTTGTCAGGTGATACACATCATGAAAAACAATTACATGTGTTGTTTGTAATTTATAAGCTTCAATCAAATATTTACAATCTTGCACATGCAAGTGCATTTTTTTGTGTCCATACTTTGAAATCCTTTGAAAGATGTTTAAGTAATGTTTTTACTTTAAGATGCAGAACAGAATATAAGTGTATCTAAGAGTACATGTATAAAGATGAACTACGTTTATTTTAAGTAAAAATAATTCTATTGCAGAAATCATTAAATTAAGATCATTCTTATTGAATAATTGTTATAAGTGAATGCACTAACTAAACATGGTAAGCTGCATTCCTTAGGATGAACATTTGGTAAAAAATGCCAGATGTTTTTACTTACACTATGCATTCATGCAGTGTTTAAAGATAATGTATAGCATTTTATAAGTGACATATCTACTCTGTGTTTACTTAAAACATGTTTTACAATTACATAGAGGCCATGTAGCAAATATCAATATTTTGAAATTTTAAATTTGAGCATAATGTATCTTTAAATTGATTAATTTGTCAAAACGTTAATACGATAATATTCAAACATTTACTGATTATGATAAAAAAATTTCATAGATTTATTTTAACTTGTGTATATTAATTGTTTTATCAACATAGAAACGTAAAATACAAACAAAACCTACATGAACATAAGGTTTGCTTTCTTTGCGGTAATAAATTTTAATCAGCTTTAATTCATTGATAAGATACTAACATAAACTAATATTAACAATATGCAAAATAAAACATTGTATGAATAATATTCGTCAAAGCATATATAGACACATCATATATAAATTTGAAATTTTCGACTTATTTCATAGAACATTATTGTTATAAAAATTCTCAAAATTAATTGAAGCAGTTTAAATCAAAACGTTTACGTTAAACACTGAAATCAGATTTTACTCCCATCAATGTTTATTGATTTATTTATAATTCAGTAACTGAGAAGTACTCCACCAAATGTGTTCATCCTGTGATAGTCTTAATATAGCTGGCGGGCAGAACCTGACGATGTTGATTTAACCCAAACTTTTTCTCCTGGTTTTACTCTCACTATTGCACCAAACGTATTACAGCCATACGATTCATCACCATAGTTAGCATCTGCTGCGATAAGTTTCCATTCCATCACTAGGCCAAGATATGTATGTTTCTTAGGATAAGCACATGTATGAACATCAAACTGGTACAGTCCTCCAACAGGTGCCGTGAAGATTCCTGTGG